ACCTACGTAGGTCATCTGATGTTGCTGTATCACTATTCCGCAGTTTGAACCTTCTAGAACGATATTTTAACTTTTTTGGACTAAATTAATTTTAACTTAAGTTAAACTAACAACTAAGTTGATACATATACCGGTATATAGATTTCACAAACATTATTATAAATACATTTTTTGCTATCTAAAGGGGTCTATTATACCAAACCGGGTCGAAATTCTATAATAAAAATAAAAGGTTATTAAAATTGGGTTAAAAATATGGAGTTTCGACCGATTGAACTTCCAATGATTGATCTTTCACCTTTAGAAGATAATCATTTAGGTCAAAGTAAAGAATTAACGAAAATTGCCGATGATATTAATATAGCCTGTGCACGTTTTGGAGTTTTCTATGTAACCACATCATCTTTTCAACTTTGTGATCAAAATCATATATTTGAATCTTCTCGTCAGTTTTTTTCACTACCTGAAGAAAAAAAGAACGCAATTCCTATTAAACCTGGAGGTTTTACACGAGGATATATAGGGCTGGGACATGAATCAGGCTCTCATCGATTTGAAGTTAAAGAAGCATTTTCATATGGATATGAGTGGAATCCTAATGAACAACCTACAAATTCATTACAGGGACGAAACGAATGGGGTGATTTAGAAAAAATTCTAGGTGAACAATGGCGTAATTCTTTAAATAAATATTATGATAAGATAGTAGCCATTGCAGAGTTAGTGGTAAAAAGCTTAGAAATGGCACTTGGTGTTGAATTAAAAGGCCACTGTGTGGGGGGAGAAACCATCTCAATCATGAGGTTATTTAAATATTATCCATATAACAATGAAGGAGATAACAAGACAGAAAATATTGGAAGTTCACCACATACTGGTTGGTTTAACATTGACATACTCTTAATTTATTTCTTTATGGAAGTCTAAGTAATTATTTTCTTTGAAAAAGATTGGGGTTTCTTAACATTGGTGTTGCAACAAGAAAATATTCAAGGCCTCCAGTTATTCTATGATGATCAATGGTGGGACATTCCTAGTAAACCGGCAACAATTGTCGTTAATTGTGGGGACTATCTTTCTCTTCTTACACGTGGGAAATATATTTCACCGTTACACCGTGTTATAAATGATGGAAAAAACGAACGATATTCTAATGTTTTCTTTTACTACCCAAGTTATAATTCAAAAATTCCATTGATTGCACAAAGCTCAAACGAATTAAGTATATTTAAGGATCAAACCGACAATTCCAAAACACATGAGAATGATAAGGAAGAGTTACTGGATGTATGCTTTGGAGAGGTATTGCTTAAAAATTTATTTAATATATATATATCATTTCGAACTTTATTAACATATATATACTTTATAACATTTTATTTAGTATATTACTCGCAAATGGGATCAAGTATTTCGATCGGGTAAACTATACTAAATATTATAAATATATTATACAAAGGAAAACAAACGAAATACAGTTAAACCTCCCCAAATGCGATGCTGAAGGTTTATATGAAAAAATTAGCAAACCTTTCGTTTATAGAGATATTGCATTTATGGAGTCAGAAGTTTATAAGTGCATATGAGTTGGAAAAAAGCAGATCCGTGCATTTAGAGACCATACATTTAGGGAGGTTCAATTGTGTATGCCTACTTTTTTTTCTTTTCTTTCTTGACATAATAATTGTATTGGCTGATCATCCACGTCAAAGAGATTACTTTAAAGATGTAACGTTAGAGAAATATGTTAGATGTAAATAAGAGTTATAAATTTCGTAAGTCAAATTCGAAAAGGTACAGATTTAAAATTGATTCTGAGATGCGTCAGATTTGTGTATTTCGTGTCCAATCAAACAATTACGGAATATTTACTTATTTCACAGTAAGCCTTTGATGAATTGATAGAAGTTTGGAACCAATGCATTGATCGAGACCAAGAAAAAAAATGAAATTCTTTTTTTCATCCACGAATACTACAATATTACTAAAAATAAATTTGATTATTGTCCTGTTGCATGGATGAATTGAAATTGGAATTATTGAGTGTAAAGAATATCATACTAAATAAAGCACCCTTCTCCACCAATGAGATCGCTGGATTCGTGAATAGTACCTGGTACTACAGTATTCAATTTTAAAAGTGAAGTTTCTTGAATAAAACCCCGGGTACTGTAAGTCTGACGCAACTCAGTTTTAAATCAACACCCATTCCATTTGACACATAACATAAATAAAATGTTTAAAAAAGTTAAAATATCGTTCTAGAAGGTTCAAACTGCGGAATAGTGATACAGCAACATCAGATGACCTACGTAGGT